ATCACTCTACATCTTCGTCTTGCTTGAGTTACTCTTTCTTTATTAAATTACCGCATTAATTATTGATTACTTGACAGGTGGTGTACAAAATCAATTTATGCATTATCAAGTTATATAAGTTAATAACTAATTCTCACTTACTTTGTTATTAGAAAAATTAGTTTGTGGTATGACATTGTCTCACTTATTTCACCCATTTATAAGATGGTGCAATAACTATCAGCAATTAATATCACATAATATCATAGTAAAAATGAGTTATGAATTTAATACATTGTTTTTTTTACCAACACATTTGTAATTTGATTTTTCGATAATCTCACTTGTTTTATTAATTGGCCCTAAGACTTAATCTAAGCAAGTCTCTTTGTTTGAAAAGCACTCTTCCATCTTATTAAGGAAAATATACGGTACCAGAAAAAAGAATTGGTATTGTATCGTCGGTTATTATTTTTTATGATAAAATTACACCCAAAAAGATTTAAAAAACTTATTATATGCCCTCAATATATTTAAAGTGTTTTAATGTAATTCTTCCACTATTTTTTATTATTTATTCTGTCAAAAATCACTCCATTAATATTGACGGAATAAACAATGAAATATAATGAAAGTGTCATATTACAATACTTATAATACATTGAATGTATAATGTGAAAAATATAATATTTGAGAGTATAAAATAAATTTTTTTAGATCTTTCAGAATTCAAAGTGTAATATAACACTGAATGACTATTTTTTTGTTACATGGTATTCAAACTTATACCGATTATTTTTTTAAACTCGAACATTGACTCGAGCGAATTTTGGACCTTTTGAGGCTTTTATGTCATATGAGCTTAGATAATTTAACCCCTCACGTTGCTTGACATAGCCTTTGAAATAGCTAGAAACTCAATTACAGACTTTCCAAGAGAACAGAAAAATGGGAAATCTAACTGGTCAAAGTCATACATGAGAATTTGTTACCTGTTGCTTTGAAACGGTCCACCAGAGTTTTTGACTAAATTTTTAGCAGACCAATGAGTATTTTAGTCTCAAATTAGTTTGAGACAGCCAAGACAAACAATTTCTAAGAATTTTGTGGTCGTGTTACTATTTTTTTGGCAAAAAATAAATAAATAAATAAAAGCCACCCACGTGACAGTGGTTAGGATAGATTACAGTCATATGACTCCGAGATTAAAGTCATTTGAAATGTGATAATGAGATTTCAACTAAAAAAATTAATAATAAATAATTTATATCAGCTCTGTCAAAATTGAAACCTAAAGCCCTACCCCCTTCCCCCCACCACTCGACCAAAGACATGTAGTCCCTCAGCAATGGAACCAAACCATTCGAGTAGATCAAACCATGGTTGTACGAACCGATTGAACTAATGCTCTTTCTCTCTCCCTCCATTGGTTGGTTGGGGATGTTTCTATGTGTGGCTGTATTGGAGAGGAAGAGGGTGGAAAAAAAAAGGGTTAATCTCATTTTATACTTCGAAAAATTGTTCGAATCTCAATTTACACCCCCAAAGATCAAAAATTTTAATTTGTACCCTCAAAGATAGAAATCTGTATTAATGTGCACCTAAAACTAAATTGATAAATTATACCTAGATCCCCTCATGTTTGTCACTTAATCATTTGAACCCCTTCACATTTAGAATATTACCCCTACATCTCATGACGTTTGTACATGTGTAAACATAACCACTTTTCATTGATATCTATTAATATAATCGTTAAAAAATATGATTTTATCCTAATAAAAAATTATAATTTCATATTACCCTTTATTTTGTGGATTCGATATACTCTAAAGTTCAAAATCAAGTTTACCATTTGAATGTCTAATAGAATGTAGATATTTATAAAAAGGAAAATATGAAAAACATTATATAAATATCTACATTTTATTAGACATTCAAATGGTAAACTTGATTTTGAACTTTAGAGTATATTGGACCTATAAAATAAGGGTAATATGAAATTATAATTTTTTATTAGGATAAAATTATATTTTTTAACGGTTATATTAACAGATATCAATGAAAATGGGTTACATGTTGTACGTGCATAAATGTCATGAGATGTAGGAGTAATATTCTAAATGTAAAGAGGTCCAAATTATTAAGTGACAAATATGAGAGGATCTAGGTATAATTTATCAATTTAATTTTAGGTGCATAATGATACAAATTTCTATATTTGAGAGTGCAAATTAAGATTTTTTATCTTTGGGGTGCACATTGATATAAATTTCTATCTTTGAGGGTGCAAATTGAGATTTTTTATCTTTGGGGGTGCACATTGATACAAATTTCTATCTTTAAGGGTGCAAATTGAGATTTTTGACCTTTGGGGGGTGCACATTGATACAAATTTCTATCTTTGAGGGTGCAAATTGAGATTTTTACTCTTTGAAGGTGTAAATTGAGATTTGAACTATCTTTCGGGGTGTAAAATGAGATTAACCCAAAAAAAAAAATAAAAGGGTGTGGTTGGTTATTTATAGTTTCACTTTTACTGCTGAATTAGTGGGAAAACAGGATTTTTTTTCTCCAATAGTAAGTTTACACGGCAGCATTAACAACGTGAGAATTATTGTTACTGACGTCATCAGGTTTTCCTGGATTGGAAAACATCATGCTCTTTTAGTGTCACTGTAATTTACTCTACCGTCTCAGTTGTTTTTACTTATTGTTCAATTAGACCGCCTTAATAATAACTAACTAAATGCGAACAATGAGATCCGTTGCTATTTGCATAATAGACTCATGCAATTGATCAGTGCTACTTAAACTTAATTTATTAAGTTAATCTAACGAATCATTATCATTGAATTGATTGTGAGTGGTGTCGCCCTATTTTGTTGGAGCCAAATTTTTTTTTTTAAAAATGGTTGAATACTCCGATTGGTTCTCGCGTCCCTGTGCCCAAAAGGATGGATGAATTCGGTTTGAATGTTCTTCGATCGGATGAATTTATATGTTTCGAGGTGGTAAGACAAAGTGTAGCTACTTAAGGTTAGTAAATTACGTCCAAATATAATTTTTCCATGCGATAACCAAATGAGTAGTGTTATTGAAACCAAAACAATTAATTTAATTTATTGTCAAAATGAATAATAATATTTTTTGGGGGGAGGAGAGAGGAGAGAGATTTAAACAATTTGATGGGACATTTCCAAAATACTCCGAGATGAAGACACGTGTCCTCGGTGTCATTAATCCTTGTTACTGAGATCACGTACCCATCGGGTCACAAGTCCCCTCTTTCCCGAGGTACTGATCATGGAGATCGAGTGGCATTCAGTACGTTTTTATGTACCGACACGTATCCTCGGTCTGATATGGAACAACGGTCGCTAGGCCTCCCCCTCTCGGAGTTAAGATGTATCTATTCTTCGGCTCCGAGATGTACCTATTCCTCGGCTCTGAGATGTACCTCTTCCTCGGCTCTGAGATGTACCTCTTCCTCGGTACCGAGATGTACCCCCCTCATCCAAGATGAAGTTCTCTGCTCCAGCAGAGGCTATTGATGCACTGGTCACAAGCCTAGGCTAGGCTAGGTTAGCTGTCATGACCTCGTCTTACATAATTTGTGTCAGAAGGCACAAGAAGGCAAGACCACAGCCAATGAGGAATGGACGCGTGACATATTGTGTCACATCAGAGACAGAAAGACCGCATGACCTTGCTGACACGCGACTTGGGAAAACAAGCATTTAATTATATCATTCCCTTGATGAGACTGCATTCAATGCGGTAAGGCTCGGAAGTGAAAGACAATATATGTCTCCAAGGCTGGGCATTTATTGCATCCTCCCCAAGAGGAGCTCATTGAACCGTCGGCAGGCCGATGACACAGTCTTGATTGTTCGGGGCCCCGAGCAGTTAAAAGAGAAGACATTCCTCATAGGAATCAGTGCGCACGTTACCTGTATCTAATGATCACCTATTGACCACACTGACAGCAATCATGAGTATTTGAGGTATAAATACTCCTCACTAAAGGCAAGGAAAGAGAGGTGAAACTTTTGCTACAAATTATACTCAGTGTTTTCTTCTTTCTCTCTCTCAATAACTGACTTGATCGTCGGAGGGGATACGCCGAAAAACACTACGGCGCCCTTCTAACTTGTTCTTCTTTGTTCCAGGAACCTTTCTTCAGCCTTACTGGATCGTTCATTTGATCCGCGAGGATCTCCCATTACCGTTCCAGGTTACCACCAGATCTCACAGGCTGTTCCAAGCAGCGTGGTTGACCACTCAACTGACTCACTCGAGTTCACCAAATGAAATATTTGTTCTCGTTTTTATATTGTGCAAGATCTAGCACACACACAATTGACCATAATAAGAAGACAAAAATTTCACATAATAAAGAGTATCATTAAACCAAATATCCATTAATAAATGATCATATATCAAACGATAGAGTTTGAATGAAATAGTCGAGCAGGTATATGGATTCTTGCTTTATAACAATTGACCATCTCATATATTTTATATAAGTAATGTTACACTGATCAAATTTTTGGATTAAATTTAAAACTCAAATGACATGACAGTTGATTATTTGAAATTTTTATTGGGACCCAAATAACATGACATTAATCAAAGAAGCTTAAGTAGCTTTAAATTTAGTCCCAAACTTTTATCGGTATAGCATTACTGATTCTATATATACTCGCCTTGATCCCCATTTGCTAAAAGTTCAAAGCCGCCAGCAAAGTCTCACTGGTTATTCAAAGGAGGATTAAATTAGGTGGTCTTTCACGCAGGAACTCATTTGTTAACGGCCTGTTATTCTTCGAAGAACGCCCCAAGCAAGCAAGTATAAATACCAATGAAAGGCTACTAAAACAAACACAAATCGCAACCAGTGAGAAAGACTGCTGAAACACCACCCATCTCTTATTGCCCTAAAAAATTCAGTGTTCTAGACCTCCGCCTCAACCCCTCCTCAAGTTTTCAGCATACTGAGAAATTTTTAAGCTCCGAAAATGAAGTTCATTTCGAGCAACCAGAACCAGTTGTTGTCTAAAATAGCAACCAACAATGGACATGGCGAAGACTCTCCCTACTTCGATGGTTGGAAGGCTTACGATAGTGATCCATATCATCCTACCCGTAATCCTCAGGGGGTTATCCAGATGGGCCTTGCCGAAAACCAGGTAGCAACAACAGTCAGTAGTGTTGCTTGTTTTTCAACGCAACTCAAGTTATAACTATTTTGGATCGGGCACATGAAACCTATTTCTCAAGCATATCGCTAATTATATTCGCTTCTTTTTTTTTTCAGCTTTCCTTTGATTTTATCAAGGAGTGGATTGTCAACAATCCAAAAGCATCCATTTGCACAGCAGAAGGAGCCAATGGCTTCAAGGATATTGCTATTTATCAGGATTATCATGGCCTGCCAGAGTTCAGAAATGTACGACTAAGTGCTACCTTAATGCTATATTTAGTCTACCTTTTGAAAATTGAAATCATTCAATGTTGATAGTAGTAGATATTTTAGAACAATTTGATTTGAATCTTACATTTAATGGATGTTAAATTACAGGCTGTGGCGAAGTTTATGGGGAAAGTGAGAGGAGAAAGAGTCACATTCGACCCCGACCGGATTGTCATGAGTGGAGGAGCAACTGGAGCTCATGAAATGGTGGCCTTTTGCTTGGCTGATCCTGGTGATGCATTTTTGGTGCCTACACCATATTATCCAGGGTAAATACCATTTTATCTTTATTTCTTAGTTATTTTCTCTTCCTATTTTATATATGTTCTTGGGTTTTCTACACGGTTAGGTAGATTTAGACTTCAAAGTTTGGCTTTTTGATTGCAGATTTGACAGAGATTTGAGATGGAGAACAGGAGTACAACTTTTCCCAGTAGTTTGTGAGAGCTCTAACAATTTCAAGATCACCAAAGCAGCCTTGGAGGCAGCATACTCCAAAGCTCAAGAGACCAACATCAAAGTAAAGGGCTTACTCATAACCAACCCATCAAACCCATTGGGCACTATACTAGACAGAGAGACCCTGAGAAGTGTACTAAGCTTCACTAATGAGAAGAACATCCACCTAGTCTGTGATGAAATCTATGCTGCCACAGTCTTCAACAAGCCTGGTTTTATCAGCATTGCGGAAATAATTGAAGAAATGGAATGCAATCGTGATCTCGTACACATTGTTTATAGTCTGTCCAAGGACTTGGGCTTCCCAGGCTTCCGAGTTGGTGTCGTGTACTCATACAACGATATAGTAGTGAACATTGCCCGCAAGATGTCGAGTTTTGGGCTCGTGTCGACCCAAACACAACATCTGATTGCATCAATGCTATCAGACGACAAGTTTGTGGACAAATTCATTGCTGAGAGTGCAAAAAAGTTGGCCACAAGGCATGGAGTGTTCACCAGGGGACTTGCACAAGTAGGCATTGGCAGCTTGAAGAGCAATGCTGGCCTATTTTTCTGGATGGACTTTCGGAGACTACTCAAAGAGCCAACTCTTGAAGCTGAAATGGAACTGTGGAGGACGATAATTGCTCATCCTAAGCTAAATGTTTCTCCAGGATCTTCTTTCCACTGCTCCGAGCCTGGCTGGTTTCGGGTTTGCTTTGCAAACATGGATGATGAAACCATGAGATTGGCTCTGAGAAGGATTAAGAACTTTGTAATTCAGGCCAAGGGACAACAGGCCAGTGCTGCAAAGAAACAATACGGACAAAGCAAACTTCAAGTCAGTGTATCATTTAGAAGAATGGAAGATCTGATGATGACACCACGCATGATGTCCCCTCACTCCCCTATGGTTTCACCCCTTGTTCATGCAAGGACTTAGGTGTGGATGAAACCTTGGCGCCATTATTGAAGTTCTGTGAGCTCAAGAACAACATTATCGAGAGAGAGAGAGAGAGAGATTGGAAGACTCCTAGTCCTATGGTATCTAAGGTATAATAGATACTACACTCATCAAATTTTGAAATTTAATTTAGAATCCAAATAATATGACAGTTGATTTTTTGAAGTTTTTGTTGGGACCCAAATGACATGACCAATGAAAGAAGCCCAAGTCAACTGTCATGTCATTTGAACTTCAAATTTGATCCCAAAATTTGATCAATTTAATATTACTCCTAACATATTTATAATCAAGGGATTGTAACAGTTGATCGTAGTTAAATAATTGTATGTACAGTATATGTTTTTGAGTTTGTCAGTGACTGTTTGGAATTTATTAGTTCAATTATTTCTTTACTGTTTCATAGCCATTATGGAATCGAAGGCATTGCAATTAACTCTAAGGAATGGTTGAGCTTGGATTTTGATAACTCAAATATATAAAGTTCAATCTCTCTTCACACTTCTCATAATTGCTAGTCATTCTTGTCGCTTTAAAAATATGTTTTAATCTCGCTCAAATTATAATAATTATTCATTCAGTTCGAGAGATTAGTCGGTACAATCTAACAGATAAAAAACAAAAAGTCATTGCAATTCAAGCTACGATTTAGGTAGTTTCAAAATTAAATGATTGTTCATTTACCATTTGTTCTCGTTTTCTTTATTGTAGCATCTTCTTGTAATTCTTTTGGGTTGGTAATCAAAAATTTGTAAAAATCAAAGCCCGATAAATATACAATCTAGCCATTCAAGTATTTCACTTTTTAACAAATTACTAATTGTATTTCTATTCTTGCCGATTGTTTTAACATATTTAAAGTACCATGGGAACGTGGGTTCATGAATTAGTCGATTTCATTTACTTTTTTTAACGAAAACCATGAGTTTTAACTATAAATAAAATTTGATAAAAAAAAAAAAAACTTGACAAACAGCTCATTACCCGATTTACATAACTAGAATTTTCATTTTTCTCCCACTTAATTTAGTCAAGTGGTCTTTATTTTTGCCCACTTTATTGTATATTTTATTTTATTTTTTGGTCTGGACCCACGTTCTTACTTGTGACAAATATAAAATGTATAAGGACAGAAATTTCAGAGGATCCACGTGGCCAAATTCCCATGTATGACCATTGACGAGAAGAGTAATGGTATATAAATTTAAAAATTAAATTTTGATAATTATAATTATTAATTTCACTATATGTTCTAACATTTATTACAACTCACTGTCTATTCAACGATTAAAATTATTAGGTCTAATTTTTAAATTCATCTAACAATACATCGGACAAAAAACAGAGGTATACAATTTAACTTCTGGTTCATTCAAAGGCTGTGCCAACTGTTTCCGCCAAGTGGCTGCCCCGAAGCTGCACGAGGGTTTAAATTCTTAAAAAATAATAAATTTTGGTACCGTAGGATCTTGATACTGTAGTTAGGGTTATTTATAGTTGATTATAATATTTCATGATAAATAGTATTAACTCATACACTTGTAACTTAAATTTTAAAAAGTATAAATTAACTTAATAAATAATAATTTTTGGTATGACACCAATATTATAAAATTACCACTAATATAAAAGTCACCCGTATGGTTGACCCAAAATTTTAGAAATTGAGACGGTGAAATAATTCATCAAGAATATTTTTATTAATGATTGATTTTATAGATTTTTAGCCTAAAAATTGTCGAGGCTGGACCTAAAGCTAATAAATCCCTAAATTTGTACCTCTTTGCAAAATCTCCCTATTTTATAATCAATTACAATATTTCATAAGTATTAGCTCGTATGATTATAATTTCACCTATTTAATTTAACCTTTAAAAATAATAATTTATAATATCGTACCGATCGTAGAATTAGGCTTGATATAAAAGCTTTAAGAAATAATGTGGTCCACTCAATTTGGCCCATGTGATTTTATTGATTATTATCAGATAATTAATTTGGGTTAGATAATGATAAGGATATCAATCCTAATCTAAACGGTATAATTAATGATTTCTAATTGATCAATGAGAAGAAATGATTTTCTAATGTTCTATTTTGATGGGAAGTGGAGTTTATGTTAAACTAGAGAATCGTTCGTCTCCCTACCTATAAATATACACATGCTTCGTCGAGTTGTATATCCTAAAAATAAAGGTCATGAGAGAGAAATTGATTTTCGAGCTATACCAAAAGATGATTTAATTCTTGATCAAGTAATTCAAGATTTGTAATAATGGCTTCAAGTATGTTGATTATGATATTTTTAATTCTACATTATGAATATTACGAGTAAGTGAAAATCATGATCGTTTTAGATCTTAAAATTATGATTTGACTGATTTCTTTGATCAAACAAAGTTTACAAAAGCCACCCACATAGTTGACCCACAATCTTAGAAAGTGAGACTGTGAAATGTTTGAATTCAAAGTTTTTGATTATATGTAAGGTTGAGTATTTGTGTCTGAAATTCAAGTCGTAGTGGTTAAGAGAATCTAAATCTTTGAAACAAAGGGTAAATTACAGACAGTGTGACCCAAAAGTCCATGCCCTATAGCGATGGCATGGAATGCATAACAAGCCGCAATTGATGATGTTGCTTTTTGAAGTGAATTGTTGTTTGATTTCAAATGAGAGACTTTATCATTCAAGATATGCAACTTTAGATACTATAGTTTATATTCAGGACAGATTCAACAATTTAGTCTGGGAAGACCAAAAATAGTGGGGCGATCCAATGAATTTTTGAAAATATCAGGGGATAGAACCTCAAGAATGGTTCAAGTGATAATAAGAATGAGCTATAAACTTAGACATCTCTGAGTTCGAATCTTGGTAATCCCTTAGGATTAGGTAATAGTGATTTATCTCTCATGAATGCCCTAATCCTGACGTAAATGACCTACCTTTGACTAAACCGGAGAGAGAATTTTTTGAAGTGTGCATAAGTTAATTAAGACACCTATACCCATTGAACTAAAAAAAAAATAAAGAAAATCTTAGGAATAAAACTACGTATTTTTGTGGGTAAAACTATGTATTTAAGGGAAACTATTAGTTGGAGATATGGACTAAAGTGTAATTAAGGATAAAATTTTCGTGTATGAGCATTGTTTTGGTCTATGAAGTACGGATACTTCGAAAGGGTCAAAGTATCTGTATCGGATCCTTTTAGATACGGATATGCGTCGGATACATATTGGATACGGTTGAGAAGTATCTTAAAATTAAAAAAAAAAAAAATTAATTTTTGGATACGGCCGGATATGTTTTGAATACGAGTGGAATATGCCTAGGATACGTATAAGGATACGGCGGGGTATTATTCAAATTTTTAAAAAGTATATGGGCACAAGAGCAAATGTATTTAGGCCCTTATTTGCAAAAAAAAAAAATTATATCAATACTTGAAACCCTATCTTCTTTTATTCCACGGCCCCCTCCTTTAGTCGACGATTGACGATCGTTTCTCTCTCTCTCTGACGATCGACTAACTCAGTTTGACGTCAATCGACGACGAGTATCTCCTCTTTCACCTCTGACGATCGATTGATTGTTTTTTTTCGGAGCAATATCGGGTATCTCCTTTTGATCCTTGAGTGTTTTTTTTGATTAATAAGTAGACTGTAAGTCCAAATGCAATGACAACTTGGCTCATATGTTAAAGTTTTTTTTTTCTGTGACATGTAAGTCCAAATGCAATGACAACTTGGCTCATATGTTAAAGTTTTTTTTTCTGTGACATGTTTATTGTGTGGGTTTCCCTTGTCTCTGGCTATGAAATACATTGATTCATGAAAACGAGTTTTGATTTTACTTGTTGCTTAAAAAAAAAAAAATATACATATACATATGCATATACATATACAGTATATATACATAATGCCTGGTTCTGTGGTTCAACATAATCAGTTCTTCCAAGAACTGATTCCAAGTTTTTGTATATATACATAATATGCCTAATGTCTGGTTCAAAAAATTAGATGCACAATAAGATGGATGTCCTTGAATTTTACTGCTACTAAATTTTACTACACTGCTAATTTATTTTATTAAATTAATAATTATAGGGGAATGAGTACGAGTGCGGAAAGTATGAGCTCAACTAGTGGAAGTGGAAGTGGAAGTGGATATGGAAGTGGCAGCACCACTCAAAATGATAATTCTCCACTTTGGGCTTTTGTTAGTAAATTAGAAAAAAGGGGGGAAGGAGGTGGAAATACTATATTCCAATGCAATTTATGTCGGAATGAGTATAGTGGATCATATTTTCGTGTGAAGGCACATTTATTGAAAATTTCTGGTCAGGGGATTAAAGTGTACTCTAAAGTGATTCTCCAAAAACTTATTGAGATGCAAAGATCAATTGAAGAAGTAGAAAATAGGGTTAAAATGACTATGCCAAAGAAAGTTCATTTGTCACCTTCCTCTTTCGAGGCTCCTATAACTAGGAGTATTGGGATATCAAAAACTTGAACACTTAAAATGGAAGGTTTTGAACCAAGAAAAAAGAAGACGATCAGAACTAGTGCTTTGGAGAAAGCTTTTAACTTTGGTACTCAAGAAGAATTGCACTCTCACATTGCACGAAAGTTTTATTCAGGTGGCTTGCCTTTTCATTTAGCTAGGAACCCATATTATGTGAGTTCTTGTACATTTGTTGCCACTAATTTGAATACTGGTTATGTACCACCTGGTTACAATGCATTGAGGACCACACTACTTCAAAAGGAAAAGACACATGTAGAAAGATAGTTGGAGCCAACTAAATTGTCATGGAAGGAAAAGGGAGTGAGCATTGTTACAGATGGATGGAGTGATTCACAAAGAAAAACTCTTATCAATTTCATGGCTGCATCAGAATCTGGGGCAATGTTCTTCATAGCTGTCAACTGTGAGGGTGAGACCAAAGATAAGTTTTTTTATTGCGAACTTAATC